GATTTGCAAATCACTCTTCAAGATTCTACTTTTAATTCTTTTGGGCATATACCCAGACTTGGGATTGCAGGGCAATATGATAATTATATTTTTAATGTTTAAAGGAACTTTCATGTATTTTTCTACAGTGGCTACACTATTTTGTATTTCCAAGAACAGTGCACAAGGATTCAACTTCTCCACATCCTAAGCACTTTTTTTGTACCAGGAATCAAACTCAGGGCCTCACACTTGCCAGGCAGGTGTGCCACTGAGCTACATCCGTGGCCCCATTTTTTTTTATAAAGACCTTTCTAATGGTGTGGGATGATTCCAAGCTGTGGTTTTCATTTGCACTTCTCATATGATCAGTAATGCTGAATATTTGCATGTGTTTTTTGATCATTTTTACTTCTTCTTGGGTGAAATCTATAAATATTTTTCATATTATTTCATTGGATTGTTTGTGAGAAATGTTTTTGTCATTGAATTGTAGGAATTCTTTATGTATTCTTTATGTTAGCTCATTATCAAATGCATGATTTGAAAATATTTTGTCACATTTTTTCTGTAGTTTTCTTTGAGGCAAATAAATTTTTAGGTTTGATAAAGTACTATTTTCTGTTTTGAGTTGATTATAATTTGAGTTGATTATAATTTTGGTATCATGTCCGAAGGATTATTCCCAAATCAGATATCATGAAATTTTTCCACATTTTCCTTCTAGAAGTTTTGTAGTTTGGGGTCTTGTGTTTAGGTCTTAATCATTTACATTTTTTTAAATATGGTGTTAGGGGAAGGTTCAACTTCCTTCTTTTACCTGTAGAAAAGTGCAAAGCTGGATACAGTTTTCCCAACCTCAGTTATTACAAGATGGGCCTATCACCATCAAATGGTCTTGGTGCTCTTTTAGAAGGTCACATTATATGCCAGAATTTAGTTCAGTGTTTTCATTCTATTCCATTGAACTGTATGTCTGTCTTTATGCCAGCTCTTTTGGTGATCATAGCCTTGAAATATGTTTGAAAATAAAGAAGTATGATGCCTCTAACTTCATTCTTATTTTTTAAGACTATTTTGGATCTTTGGAGTAATTGAAATACCATTTTTTTTTTAAATTTTAAAAACTAACTACCTACAATGACTCTGTAGACCACTTTAGATATTTTAAACATTTGAATTTATTAAGACTTCCAATCTACTATTCTGGTGAACACTAGATGTCATTCCGTTTATTTCCTTTTCTTTAATTTCTTTCAGCAGTGCTTTATAGTTTTTAGTGTATAATTCTTTCACCCTCATCATTGCTTTGTTCCTAGTTATTTTTTTTCTTTTCAATATTATTTGATATTGGATTGTTTTTAAATTTTTCCTTTCAGCTTGTTCATTGGCAGCATACAAAAACAGCTAATTTTTATTTGTTTTTTAAATGTTTAATGGACTTCTCCATTGAGGCCAGCAAATTCTGGGCGAGCATTTTAGTCAGGTTTTCAATCACTGATTTAATTTCTTTACTTGTTATAAGTCTCTTTAAGTTTTAGAAAAAAGTTCTTCATAATTCAGTCTTTGTAGATTTTATGTTTCTGGGAGTTTATTCATTTTACTCTGAACTCTGGATCATGTCTTACCTATTTAGATCTAGTCTTCTTCCAGGAACCTAGATTTGATTATAGATTCTCAACACCACTCCTTAGAAAATTTTTGCTGAAGACTTGATAAGGTTCATCAAAAAAGGCATACAATGTTACAAGCAGCGTCTTCACTCTTCACAGCATGTAACATAGGTTATTCATGAAACAGCTACCCTCATAGAGAAGTCTGCTTTTCCCATCTCCACCTTATTTGACTTCTATGAAAATATAGGAGCAAGATTTAGAGTTAAGTATCTAAAGTGAAGAACTTAAATGAATGTTAGAGTAAAATTTTAAGAGATTTTTTCCAGTAGTGAGGATTTATGTTTATATTCTAAATTCCAATGTATAAATGTAGCTCTTCCGGCCCATAAGTGAAATATCAGTTAAGTACTCACCATACTTTTAGTAACTTTTAAAAACTAGATTGACTGTACTAATTTGCTACTTTTGAAAATACATTGTTTTGATTGGGAGATAACAGAGATTGTCTAGCTAGGGAATGGTGGTGGAAGACATAGTAGAACTACGGCAAGTTGGATGCAAATTTATAATTCTCAATAGAAAGGTAAGCCAACATCACTTCTCACTCTAAGACAAACAGTAGTTGACTCGTAGACCTCGGCATCACAGAGCTGGAGTGAGTACAGCAGGGAGATATACTTTTACAGATTTTAACTCACTGAAAGTTTTTCTTTCCTCTGAGATGGAGATAATTTAAGAAACCAACAAAAGTCTTAAGGTAACTAAGAGTTCATGTTGGTGTATTTTAACAGGAATCATTTCCTTTTAAATGCAGAGGACTTTTTATTTGGCAATATTTCTGTAATCAACTAGAATTTTTTAACCTTCAGTTTTATGTCAGCTCTACAGCTAACTTATTAGCTGAGAGATACTTTTATTTTCAGCTTTACCCCAAGCATTTAAAATTCTCAACTGAGTCACTGTCACAGTATTGAGTCATATCATCAGGAAATTAGTGCTATTTTAATGAATAGCATTAACCTTCAAATTCCAGTGGAAAAAATGAAGCCTTGGTTTCTAGGTCTTAGTTTACTTGGGTAAATCCTTGCTGGGTGAATGTTTAATAGATTTAACACAACAAATTTCAGATGTTATGTTCAGAGTGTCAGAGGTAGTTAATGAAGCAATGATGATATCTCACTAAGTTGGTTTTCATTTTTCCTTTTTCACCTAACATTTTAGCACTGGAGGGTGACCAGTGTTGCAGCCAGATTATTCTCATGTATTTCGTCTTATTTCATCAGTGCTGAGAGGCATTCTTTTAGTGATTTAGTCTCGTCTGATCTCACAGCTTTATTAGTCAATGTTTATGCTGATGATTTTAAAATTATATAGCTTAGACATTTCTCCTAAAGTATATACTAGTTTTTCTACTTCCTACTTGATATCTAGAATTAAATTTCAAATAGGTACTTCCACAGATAACATTTACAGAGCTAAACTTCTGGTCTTTCCCTCAATCCACTCTACCTAGGGCCTTTCCCAGGGCAACTACGGTACATTCTTAGGTTTTTAGAGGTCAAAAAATTTGGGATAATCCTTTGTTTAGGATCAAGTAGGTACTTCCACGGATAACATTTACAAAGCTAAACTTCTGGTCTTTCCCCTCAATCTACTCTATCTAGGGCCTTTCCCAGGGCAGCTATGCTACATTCTTAGGATTTTAGAGGTCAAAAGATTTGGGATCAACCTTTGTATAAGGTTTTCCTCTTATACCCTTTATTTAACCCATTGGGAAACCTTGGGAGATCTGTATTCTTCAGACAAGATCTGAATTTCTCTGGATGAATGTTCTCATAAATTAAGAAGAAGAGGGGGAGGTTAGAGTGATTTAGAGAAAAAAACCAAATTTGCCTAGTTAGGAAGTGATAAAATCACAATTCTAATCTACATTTTCTGACAGGCCACAAATAATATATGGTATTCTTTTTATAATACTAATACTATTTCAAAGTAAATGTTATAACTGCTCTTTTATTTATGTAGTTTAGAAGTATAAGTTGACTGGTTTTATAACTAATATATATTGTGTCAATTAGATTTTGTAGGAAATCTTTAGGCACATGGCACTTCTTCATAAATACTTGTCAACTCAGTTGAATTGAGTAGTATTTGTCTGCCTTTTTATTTTGCACTAGGTTAAGAACTATGCTTTTAATTGCAAGGTATAAGAAGATATATGTAGCATTAAAAACAAAAGCTATGTCTAGTGCATGTTTAATTAAAGGGGGGAATACTTATGAAATAAAATACTCAAGAAAGTAATTTAGAATTCTCTTCTTCAAAAATTTTTGGTTCTACTTTAGAATATGTATTGGCTTGCATTATGTTATATAGTTTCCATATTTATTAGACTTTTTATTATTGATGTTGATGTCTATCATTTATGTTTAGATTGTAAAATTATTGTTCAGCTTATTTGTTTTTCTCTCCCTTGAGTTTGAGGAACATCTTACAATTGCAATCTATTAAATTTTAAATTTGTACAATAAAAATACAGAAGTTTGGATCTTAATAGAGAGATATTAGAAAAGAAATTTCAGAGCTGATTAGATTCTGAAAATACTCATTTTATGATGTAGTGCTCATACTTTAGTAGAAGTTATTACTTACTTCTGTAAAGGAATATAGCAACACTGAAGAATACTGAGCTCAGTTTTATTTCAGTTAAGTGATAGACTTGAAAAAAGACAAAATTACATTTTCAGGAGAAGTTTATTGTCTATTGAATTGATATACTCAGAAACTGATCATTGTCTTTCTTCTCTTTATGCATATGTAGAACATTTATCTTTGAAACAACTTTTAGATACAAAGCCTTTGAGATCATTAATTCGTCTATGTTTTTCTTTTATATTTGCATTTTAAATTTACTTGCTTCATTCCAGTAATTTGTGTTATTTAGGTCCAAGTACAAAAATTGATGAATATTTAATTTCCGTATCCCAACTTCTGTGTATTTACCTGCCTACCTTTGCTTTGGCTGAAATGTTTAGTATGGAATGAATTTTAAAGTATTTTTTTAAGTTTTGGAACTATTTCTTAAAGAAACAAGATGATGTGTGCAGCATTAAAAACAAAAATTATCTCTAGTAATTATTCTCTGTGGCATCTGAATGAGTTAAAGATGTATGGCAACTGTAGCTGTAATGTCGTATATTTAGAAAAAAAAAAAAAACTCAATTTGGTACTTCAAAAAAAAGTGTCTGTTGGCAAACAAACCTAAAATAGAAGTTCAAAAAAGAGATATTTTATTTCTGGAAAATGTGTTAGTTCTGTTACCATGTGCAGTGATGGATATCTGTGAGTCTTCATGCTGTGAAAGAAACTATGATCAACTATAGTGCTGTCTTTTCTTTTTTATAGTGTATGCCAATTAAAGGCCTAGGATTTGTACTTGGAGCCTATGAGTGCATTTGCAAAGCAGGATTCTATCACCCTCGAGTCTTAGTGAGCAACTTTCACAGTAAGTCCTCTGTTTCTGGGCATATATATGTATACATGTAGCATATACCATTATTAATCATTTAGATTTTCTTTTAACTTTGTTAGAGGTATTTGGGTAAATCTCCACCAGCTTGGCATTCTTTCCTCAGTTGAGGAGCTTTACTTTTGGTTTGTCATTTACAGTGCTCTGGGGTACCACAAAAATATTTGCTTATATTTAGGTACATTTTAGTTTTCTAAACATTGTAAAACCTGAAAATACAGTCCCTACTAGGTAAGACCAATTGGGATTTAGTTATTGAGAGATATTAGCACAGAAAGTTCCTAAAACTAATTTTACCTGTTAGTTTATTTACCAAATTGTTCAAATGTTAGTTTCTATGTGTTGTGAGTACCTTATAGCACAGTAAGGGATGTGAAGAGATAAGGCAACAAACAGATATTGTGTTTCTAGTGCATGGTTTATTCACACAGCAAATGCTTATTCTGTAATGCACACACAAACAGGTATAAGGTTCAACCTGAGACACTCTTGTGAATGTGGGACCGTATAGAGTCCAAGTCACTCAATGAGCAGGGGTTCAGGGCGAGTTCAAGGCAGGGTGGGAGGCCAAACTGTTCCAGCTGAAGTCCTGCATAATCTTTGTCCCTTGTTGGAGATGGTGTGTCTGATTTGCAATTCTGCAGTGCTTTTTAGTATGTGGTGTTTATGGTCATGGCCACCCATCTTATCTTTTGCTCCAGCTGTGGTGCTTGGGTCATCTCTTCTTGGCTGTAACAGATGAGCTTCTTGGAGCACTGCTGTGTTAGAGTTCTTAGAATTCTTTGCCCGGCCTGCCAGAATGCCGTGATGTTACTGTGCCCTTGATATAACCAATGCTGTGTTCATCACACTACTGTATGCAGCCTCCGCACAGAGTGAGCAGCTTAAAGCAGCAAAATGTGTGGTCAGATGGTTTCCATTGTTCAGGTTTCTCATCGAGGATGAGCCGATTTCCCTGCTCACAGTCTCATCAAGGTGCACCTGGGATGTGATTGTTTCTTAGACTCAGATTACTCTTCAAAGGACTTTCAAGCTATTGAAAGTACTTATCTCCTTGCAACTGCAGGTCTTTCTGGCTAGATGTCTGCCCGGGTTCCCTCAATTCCTAAAAGTTCCAGCAAGGCCCTGCCACATGACCTTCTGACAAAAAAGCTGTTTACTTACCCAAAGCTACTGGGTGGACCTCCCTGGATGGCTAAGGCAGTCTTATACAAGAAAATGCAATCATGGGAGTGGCTATCCTATCACTTTGCTATCTAATGTCACCTATGCAAAGGACAGAATGTTTTGCTAGGTCGATCTACAGTTTGTATCCCAGAATCTAAACTTGTTCACCTGATTATATTATTCCTATTCCAGAAAACATTAGTGTTGCAATTGAAATACTGCAATTTACTCTCCTTGTAAAGAATGCTGTGTTACTATTTTGGCTTGTAGTCACTTATTAGATACTTCAACAAGAAGGAATGCAGTGTCTTAAAAGGGGGTAGTTTCATGGGAAATTAGGTTTTTGAGTTTTTAAACTGGGGTACATGTCTCCTTATATAGTTATATAATAATGTTTTCCAACTCTATTATTGGTACACATAGAAATTTATATCTCCAGTAGGGATAAGTCAAAAAATACATTGAGATTGACACCTGCATGTCTTCTTCTTGAAATTTTGGGGTGACATGTATAGGTTTATTGATAGACTTTTACCTTCCTCTCTCGGAAAACACTGTTCTGAGTCTTGAGACTTTTAACATTTAATTTCTAGGTTCTGAAAGTGAGGAACATTTTTGTCTCTCTTCAATCATATATTTCAGAGTTCAGCCTTTGTGCTGAGTAATAGTTATAAGCGGAATTTTAAGATTACCTCCACGATTCTCCTGCACACATACTGCATAGTCCCCTCTTCTTAACTGAGGGTGGGACGGGGGAGTCCAATGGGACAGTCACTCCCTTGCCCAGGGCTATGTTGAAGTGACGCACCCTCTTGTATGATATGACTCCTTTGGTAGCTGATGGAGGGAGAGACAGGAAGAAGGAGAAATACAGGGAAAGTGAAAAGTTGATTGATTGATTGATTGGTCGATGGATTCATGTGCTGCCTAGGAACTTCAGCATGGCAAACCTCACGGATAGCCAGCAAGCAAACAGGGACCTCTGTTCCACAACTGCAGGGAGATAAATTCTTGCAGTAGCCTAACCAAAGTCTTGGTTCCAACTTTGTGAGACCTTCAGCAGAGAATCCGGTTACACTATGTCTAGAAATCTGATCAACAGAAATAGGGAATAGGAAATGGACATACTAAGCTCCTGAATGTCTAGTAATTTATTTTGTAACCACAGGAAACATCACTGCCAATGATAACAATATACTTTCAAGAAAATTCTGCTTTTCGATGTGTGTGTGTATGTGTATGTGTGTGTGTGTACCAAACCATGGAAATACCGGAACTACTTTAGCATTCTTCACATTCATGGTCCACACATAACATATGATTCAACTTTGAAAGACTAAGGGACTATGTTTTAGCTTATGTTCTGTGAAGGTATTTTGTATCTGGTTTACCCACATTTGTTCTCAGCTCCCACTATGTGACTGAAATAAAACATCTAAATATTGTGGAACCAAAGAATGACTATGCCATTTGCTTATAACACCACCAGGAGAAACTGGTTAACCTTTAACAACTTATCTTTATTTAATTTGCACACTCCTACTTTCTTCCTTATTTTAAAAACTAGTGGTTTTTTACTGGACCTACTCACTTAGAAAAGGCTGCTTTTCTGCATTAGTCTAACTTCCATCTCATACACATGCAACCATGGAAAAGAGGCCATAGTTTTCATAGTTATTTTCTTGACCTCAGCACATACTTAACCATGGCTGACCTTCCTCAGTGATAGAGCAGGAAGCTATCTACTATTGTGATTGGAAGCCAGTAATGTGTCCTTTGACCAATTATATTTTTCCTGATACCCTTTTCAGGTAGCATGAAAATCCAACATTAATCACTCCTTGTCTAAAGAAAGTACAACAACTTAACCAGTGGTATGAGCTATAATTCACCATGAGGATCATCAACCAAGAGCTATAAAAATTTGTATATTTTCTGGCTTTTTATTAGAATGTATTTCATATCTTTGTGTTTTAATTTGTTAAGTCTTAGTATCCTGGAAGATTATATTGGCAGTTTTTTGATACTTTCTTAAAGGGTGTTTGAGAAGTAAAAAATGGCCATATGTATCTCTGAGGCCAAGGGTAAAGAAGGCATTGGAGACCCAGAATAGGAGATAACATATGTAAAACTGCTTGTATAGCCCATGGTATATAATCAGTATATAATAGATGTAGTTAAATAACTAAATATATATAGACATTGTATATGAACATTATATATAATTGATATATGATTTTGAAATATATAATTTATTATTCTATATTTATCATTATATTCATAGTGTAATCATCAATTATAAATGTTCATATATATATATAATTATACATGAAAAGATAAAATCCTTATGTCTCATTGGTCCTTAGTTCTCTATCCAAATATTTTATTCCTTTAGGGTAACTGGTGACTTAATCTAGAACTTTTAGAGAATGAATTCTCCATGTGTCAGAAGGAAGACTGGACAGAAAAGGTCTGCAGCAACCAGAGCTGCTTTGAGAAGGGCAACAGGAAGAAATAACACTTAGAAGCTACGAGGTAACAGGAAGAATTTGGTTAGTTGCCTAATAGGGAGAGTGAGACATAGATAACAGAAGCATTGCACTGCAAAGATAATATTTCACTTAATTTATAGTTTTAAACCTAGAAGAACCCCAATTTCCACCATCTCTTATAGAGTTGTCTCCCCTTTAGAAAGCAGAGCTAAAATGTAAAGCAAATGGTGTGATTTGAAATTGTGCTGACAGCCAGGAGACCTTGTTCCTGGCATCTCTCTTGAAATTGGTAGTCATATGGGAGCTAATAGGATCTGACATCTGGAGAGTAGCAGAATTTCAAAATAACCAAGTACAGATGTATAGCTGTCTCCTCAAATTCAGGTTGTTCACTTCCAGGTTGGTGAAATACGAGCTTGTGACAATCTCATCTTCCTCAGATTTATCTATCTGAGTATGAATTCTGACTTCAATTAAACCTCCTTTCTGTTTTATGTGGACAGACTTCCAGCCTTGTAGTCTTATTTCTTTTGTCTTTTGGATTGACTTCAGCTTGTTTATATTTCCAGTTAAATCCCAAGTTACAAATGAGTTGTAGCTAAAAATGACAATTCCTACTTTGCCGACTCCAGTGCTATTGATATGAAAGACGTACAGTTAAGGAAAAATGGATAAAAATAATTAGGTACTTTTAGAAAGCACTCTTGTTTTTTTCTTCGCTTCTTGAAAGAAGTACAGTTTAGAGATATTGAGCTCCAGGGCAAATGTTAGGCAGGGCTAACGTGTGTGGCAGGAGCAAGGACAGGTATATAGGTCTTATTCTTCTTGTCAGGCGTAGGTCTTATTCTCTTGCTGCCTCCTCCTTCATGGCTAGAGAGCTGAAGATATTTGGCTTTCCATAGATAGCATGGAAAGAAGGAAGGGAGGGAGGAAGGAAAGAAGGAAGGAAGGAAGGAAAGGAGGAAGGAAGGGAGGAAGGAAGGAAGGAAGGAAGGAAGGAAGGAAGGAAGGAAGGAAGGAAGGAAGGAAAGAAAGAAGGAAGAGAGGAAAGGAAGGAAGAAAGGGAAGGAGGAGGGAGGAGGAAGAAACAAGAGAAGGTGGGAGGGAGGAAAATTACTAAATTTTAATACAGCTGTAGCAGAATTTTCCACCTGATTCCCCATGCTTATATTTTTGTATCATTAGCCCAATTTTCAATTTTTGTATTTTCTTTCATTAGTCCTGTTTAAAGTGACTAAAGCCCTATTGCTAAGTATCTGGGAGATGGTATTAATTACAAGAGGAAGCATTTCCAAGACTGCTAGTGCACTTGAAGAC